TTTTAAACTAAAAGAGTGCCAGCTCACTCTGTTAGCATAATTATCCCTAAGGAGCTGAACTGCGAGATCGTAGCCATCATTATTTAGGGTTAAATTTGTTACCCCCCATTTTCAGCTTCACCCTTAAGTTGATCCTGGAGGTATGTGAATTTGGTGGGTTTAGAATCCACAAAGTCGAAAAATTTAGTCCAGATGTTGTTCCAACTTTCATTCTCTGTTCCAGAGAATGTTGGTAAACTGATTGAAGGCTATCTTGAGGTTATCTTGCAGTTTAACAGTTGCAGTAAAAGTAGCAGTAAAGGCAGTTTAACTTCTGGTTGAGTAGTGTTAGGGGAAGTTGTAGTTGTTGTTGCCTTACTCTGGGCAATTAATTTGATGAAAGGATCTAACTTGGCTTGAGTATCACCCTCATATTGTTCCAGTTCAGCCAAATACTTTTCTATCTGGCATTTGACTTCCTCAAATTTACCTGTTGCTACTCGAAATTTGGTTTCTAGTTCAACATTATCAACTGGAGATTGTTGTGACAGATCAAAGCATTTATTAATCTGTCCTAAGTGACCCTTGGGTCCTGTTAGAGGTTTTTCAGTTTTTTCTAGATCAGCCATGCTGGCTACTTAGTTGGAATATACAGGGTCTATAATATTATTTCTAATGTAACTAGGGTACTTGCTCATTATCCTGAGCAAGTACTATTGATAGTAGCCTAAGGTCAGATTTTCTATCACTAGGCTAAAATCCTACCTCCATGAAGGTTAGCACATTAAAATACTAATAAATATATATATAATCACACACAAATACTTTGAGAGGTAACCAATGTCACTGTGGGAATTCCTCAGGGTAGCCCTTCCTTATGGCCCTTGGTTAGTACAGAAACACTCATTATCACTCAACAGTGAAATGATTATAGGTAAACATATAAGCAAATAATTATAGATACATAACTTGTGCTGGTATTGGTTCCACCCTATATAAGATTGATAAAGATTAAGACACCCAAAAGATGGCACGAGCATGAATAGCCCGTAAGTGGTGGCCCTTTTGAGCCATTACCAGTATCATTAGCCGATACTGGACATCTGAGGAGGTGCGACTGCACCCTGCGTGACGGGAGATGTCTTCCCCGTGACCCTATATAAGGGTCTGCATAATTAATTAATAGTGCTAGGTTGTTTAATACTTAATACAACACTAGGATATAATAATGTAAATGAGACTAAGTTGATTTAGTTCAGCACTAGTCAATCTATATAAATAAAAATGTAAATGTTCGTTTGTTCAAAACTAAAATTCCGCGAAGTTCAAAGATCAAGATTTGCATGCAAATCTTTTTGCATGCTTCCAAAAGTTCTTTACAGATTGCTTTGAAATTTTTACACAGCGTTCCATTCGAATACGTACATGTTTTTATATACCTAATATATAGATGTCATGTCTGACAGGCAAAGACTTTTTTATTAACTTTTTCCATGTGAGGGAAATCTCTGAAAGCTCTTCTTCGAAACTTCTTACAGATTGCTTTGAAATTGTGACAACGTTGCATTCGAAAATGCGTGCGTTTTTATATACCTACTATTTGGATGTCACTTCCGTGACAGGTAAAAACATACTTAAAAAAAAAACAGCGCCATCTGATGAATGTAAAATGCAACACACACTGTTTTTCATGTGATGGAAATCTCCAAAAGTTCTCCACAGATTGCTTAGAAATTTTGACACAACATTGCATTCAAATATGCTGTTACGGACCCGAGTCCAGCGTCGGAGCACAGAGCGGCGATGACAACGCCATCTGTGAGTCCACTCCTGAAACCCACTCCAAATGGACGACGCCATCTAGTGGTGACAGGATAGGCCAGCAATAAGTGTTGGATTCCTGTCCTAGTCAGCTCATGACGTAGCCGCTGCTGACCTCTGGTGAGGTGGTGCTTAGACAGTGAACGCCATCTATGGAGTGAAGAGGTGGACGTTTCTGTCTAAGCTTGTGAGTGAAGCGTCCCAGTATTAATGACGTGTCTGATTGCAGAGTCGACCTGGGACTGCTGTGTTGGACGATTGACCAGTCTACCCAAGGCAGCCAAGGTCTGTTCACGAGTCTGCTTTGAAGAAGCTGTGAGCCACCCCCAGACGAACTCTGTTGAGAGTATTAGCCTGCCTGTGGCGTGGCAGTGTCGGGAATCGCCTTATCCGGGGCTGGCTGGTGGAAGAGACTAGCCACTGTGGTGCTTAGTGAGAGTGATCAGCGGGTGACATGAGGCTCCTGCCTAGGGCTCGCAACCCTAGTATTGGTCGTGGTGTGGCCTAAACAGCGAGGCTGATCGGAACCTGCCAGCTACAGGCTGGATTGTGGTTGAAGGCCTCCACGTCGAAGCACCCAGTGGGACTGTGATTTGGCTGGCCTGTGGCCAGGGTAGATTCGTCATAGTCATATTGGATTCATCGTGGGCCACGGAAGAAGGAACCAGGGCAACCCAGAGTGAGCATCGTTGAGCATCCAGTGTCTTCGGAGGAAGACGCAACAGTACACAAGTGTAGTAATAATCCCCGCGTGCGACTGTTATATATTTATATATGGTGATGGTAAACATATAAGAAAAACTGAAACATTTGTATCCCTCCCCCTTTAATTTAACTTGCGTTACAGAACACACCCCTTGAAAGCCTCTACTAACTTGGGGCCGGATTCCCAAACTCTACTACCATCAGAGAAGAACCCGGTTGCGTCCCAGTAGGGCCGTAACATATGCGCATGGTTTTATATATCTTCTATATAGATGTCATGTCTGTGACAGCTAAATACATGCTTTTTTTTAATAACATTGCCATCTGTTGGACGTAAAAGCAACACGCTATACTAAATATTTTACGATCTCATTTCGATGTTTCCAATTGAATTGTTAAATTGAATTTTCATATATTTCGATTTATTTTCATTTTGATTTAATTATGTTGTGTGACATTGCATTGAAATCGAGCTGTGCAGCTTACCATACCGTTCATTTAATGAGTATAGTTTATTATTTTATTTTTTCATTTCTTTTTTTTAACCGTTCTTTGTATTTTTCAGAGATTGGAACATCAGAGCAATTGATGTTCCAATGTTTCTGATGAGAATGCATCAGGCAGGGGAGTGGGCAATGGTGGGGAGGATGAGTGGGCTGGGGGAGTGGGCGATGGTGGGGAGGATGAGGGGATGGGGGAGTGTGGAAGACGAGGGAGTGGGGAATGGTGGGGGAGGATGTGGGAAAAGGGGAGTGGGGGATAGAAGGGAAAACAAATTGGATGGGTTAGGGGACGCGGGGGGGGGGGGGGGGGCAGGATGAGGGGACGGGGAAGGGGGGAATGGTGGAGAGGACGATGGGATGGGGAAGGGTTAGGAGGACGAGGGGATGGGGGAGTGGGGAAACGGAGGGTAGCACGGGGGAGGGTCGGGAGATCTGGAGTCGGCAAACCAGACAATCTCTATATGTACACAGACAATGAAACAACAACAAATATTGTATACCCACAAACATTGTGAAATTAAACATATTAGAAATGTGCGCTCTCTTTTTTCTTTCTTCATTTCTGAGCCACAGCAACGTGTGGCCTGGTATAGCTAGTAGTAATATAAATTGGACTAGGTTGATCAATATTTAGTTCAACACTAGTCAATGGTAACATCCTACCCTAAAGCAGGTTGGCAACTAGCTACTAGAAATTTATGTTGGGCAGTGGAGACAAAGTCCAATATATTTTAATTGGGGTTTTAGCTTATGTTAAATATTTCTCTAAACAAGAGAAATTAAATACTGCACACAATTGGTGTTGGTGGCCTCTCATTAACCTCTTGTGTATATAATATTTTATTAGTGACCTTCACAAAATTAAACACCACAAATTTAGTATAGATAAACTCCATGGAAAGGTAACCACAATTTAGTCGGATTTAATTTATGCGGTTATACTGCGCAGATATAACACTGCACGAATTTGGTGGATGTATTCCGTGAAACTGTTGAGAGGCTAGGCTACTGACCCGTCTTTGACTGGTGGTGTGTGTTTTAATATATTATTGATCGATTTAATGCACTGGTTTACTTAATTTGATAGACCAACAGTGATCTAGAATTGTAGGACCATTAAGAATCCATCTATGGTTCAAAGTACCATATATATGGTTCAATAACGAATAATTTCTGAATATGATGAACTGTTTTTGTTGTTGTTTTAGATTCAGTTACTCAGAACAAAAAGTTCCAAGCAGCACGAGCTATCTACATGCTATTTCTGGTTCATCTGGTTTCAGTGACCATAAAATATGTGGGGATATCTACCATTGATTGATTTGATTATTAATTCAAGAGATTATATTAAATTGTATTTATTACTGATGAGTGGACTGTATTTTTTAAATTTATTATCAACAGTAAACTTCCCTTCACACATTTAGGGGGGTTTCATATTTTAATCTTGCTGTAATTAAACAGTAGCTTTACTTACTAATGGGTTATATAACACTACTATGGGTTAGTTATAAATTATATATCCCATTGGTTGTGGGACGGTACGGCTCAACTTGTGGCTTGCTCACAATGTACTTGGGGGAACGTTGCAACGTAACATCTAGCAAGAACAGATATACCTCAATTGTAGCATATAATAGTAAATTTAATCAAGACTTACTCTTGTGGGTGGTGTTGCCATGTGCCCTAATGACTTATCTAGACAGAACATTCATTGCCCAACTATTCTGAGCTAAATAAACCGACAATGTATATATTAAGCAGAATTGCCCCAAGACTGACCTTGGTACTCTCCATGGTTGTGTCCAGCCATTAACATTTGTCACCCGTATGTGTTGGTACGTAAATGTCTATAACCAGACACATACACATCTACACCTGTGTATGTGCCTATAACCAAACATACATTGTAACTCAACTTGGCCTATCCCTGGGTAAGTCGGTCCAACCACTAATACTTCACAAGTATTAGACAAAGCACTGTCTATACTGATGCGGCCACTTGTTCCCACTATAACACATCTTGGATTCAGGACTGCCCTGATGGAACTAACTCTTGGTGCCCAAGATACCCTCTTTATCACTTCTGCGGACATAAATGTCATTAGCAACACAGTAACTACACAGGGATCAAATATGATGGCAGCTTTCCACCGAGGAACAGAAAATGTGGTCGGGTGCACTCAGTAGATTGCGTTGACATCGTCACCTCCCTCAACAGAGGGCATTGTCATCGACCCACCTTCTAAGGCAGGGGTCTCCAAACTTTTCAATGTAAGGGCCACATTATATATTTCCCATATTTATACGGGCCGGAGGAATAAAAAATGAAAAAAAACAAAAAACAAATCAGTGCCAGTAATTTAATTTCCTCAAATATTAAAGTATAAACATGGAAAAATTAAAACATCTTTTTGGAAAAAATCAGGGTAAACTAAATAGATTCCTGCCTTTAGTTTTATGCAACCAAATTAGTGTGACGAATGATACTGTCGTTTTGACTTCAAAATTTCATTAAAATCGGGTTCCAGATTAGATGAGCCAATTGTAAGAATTGATTTCAAGTGATCATCAGACAAATTTGCTCGATAGTTAGATTTCACATACTTCATTTTGGAAAAAGTTTGTTCACACAAGTATGTTGAACCAAAAATGGACACAAAACTACAAGCAAACTTTATCAAATTTGGAAACTGATCTGGCTGCAGGCATTTATAAAACTCAATCAGATTTCCTTCTCTATACTTATCTTTCAGTCTGTCATCTGCCTGGAGATCAATAATTTCCATTTGAAATTGAGTTGGAAGATTTTCAGCATTGCAGTCAAATGGATTATGAAAGAGCCTGATTTCATTTGCATTGGCATCAAGGTCAGCAAATCGCTTCTGAAACTGTTTTTTCAAATCTGAAATTATTTCATTTGCAAATGAAAAAGGAAATTCAACTTTACTTTCTGCATGAAATTTTTCACAACATGGAAAATGAGCAAAATTCTTAACCTTCACCTGGCCTTCAAGTAGCGCAAGTTTTGCTCTGAATGCCTTGACATGAACAAAGTAGTCACTGATCAAATTTGTTTTGCCTTGCAATTTCAGATTCAAGTTATTCATATGACCTGTCATATCTGCAAAAAATGCCAATTTCCAAATCCATTCACATTCTGATAATAATGGCTGAGGTTTATTTTTCTCTGTGAGAAATAAATCAATTTCTAATCTGAGCTCAAAGAAATGCAGCAAAACCTTTCTACAACTAAGCCATCTAACTGCTGTATAATAAGGCAAGTTAACAAACTCCGCATCAATTTCTTTCAAGAAATCACGGAACTGGCGATGGTTGAGTGCATGAGATCTAATGAAATTAACCACAGAAACAACAGGTTTCATGACACAAGACATATCAACATATTTTAGGCACAATGCTTGTTGATGGATTAGGCAATGCAGAAAAATGGGTTTTGAGAATCCTCCAACCTCACAAGCTGTTGTAATTTGCCCAACCAAACCCTTCTTTGTCCCAGACATATTCTTTCCTCCATCAATTGTCACACACTGCACTTGTTTCCATTCCAGGTTATATTCTGTCATAGTTTTACTTACTTCATTGAAAATGTCCTCTCCAGTTGTTGTGGTGTGCATGCTGTGAACTGATGCTAATTCTTGGCTCACATTAAATTCACTATCAACACCACGAATGAATACTAAGAGCTGAGAAGTATCACACACATCAGTTGATTCATCCAACGCAAGAGAATACCAACAAAATTTTTTTTTTTCCTTTATTTGCCGAATTATGTCGCCTCCTAAATCTTCAATTCTACGAGCAACAGTATTTGACCCAAGACTTATCATTTTGAAGAGGTTTACTTTTTCTGGACATACCTCTCCTGCTGCTTCCACTATACACTCTTTTATGATACTACCATCAGTGAAAGGTTTTCCTTTTTTAGCCAACACATAGGCAACTTTGTAACTGGCTCTAGTTGAATTTTCATTTTCAGATTTTTTCTTACTGAAAACAGCTTGTTGAGAATGCAGACTGTGCTGAAATGATTCAAACTTTTTAGTGCGTTCTGCTCCTGTGATGTAAGAATAACTTGAGCCATGTTTAGATTCATAGTGCCGACGAATATTGTATTCCTTCAGAACAGCAACACTGTCTCTACATATTATGCATAAAGCTTTATCATTTGCTATCACAAAAAAGTACTTTATCTTCCATTCGTCATTGAACCGACGGCACTCACTGTCCACTTTTCTTTTCTTTATCTTTTCCATATCTGAAAACATAAGGGTAAAATAAATGAAATAAATTCTACAGGAAAAAAACAGCTTGTATGTGGTGTTAAAAAGCATAGCATATTATTATAAAGTGGTAAATATTATGGCAACAGCTTTCGTTGATAAACTTAATGGTTACCATTTTAACTATTTTAAACATGCAATATTTTTGGCTACAATAGTATTATTGCTATTTTGTATAACTAAGATAAAGGCATTGTCAAAGTACAGAGAAAAGAATATTGTACAGTGTTTGTGCTCCCTGAAACGGAAGCAGTGAAGCCCCACTCGCCCTCCATCCCCACAATATACAGTTATACACAACTGATTGGTTGTAATGCACAACACATACCTACCAGTATTAGTATCTGTGCGTCACACTATCGAGAGAGAGGAAAACTGACTTGGGTTGAGCGCCACCAGTCAGCAGCCCCAGCTTTGAATAATTCTGCGATGCCATTCGTACGATAATTATTTTTTCAAGGCCACCACACAGGGATTTGTTTGGAGGGCCGGATGAAATTATGTGGCGGGCCGGATGTGGCCCGCGGGCCATTGTTTGGAGACCCCTGTCCTAAGGGAATTGTGGTCGGTAGTGGTCCACAGATAACTAGACACATGCACGCCCACACACGTGTATATGTTGGCGTGTCTGTGTTAATAACAAAACACATACATGCCAACTCCCGTGTACGAGTGGGGGTGTATGTGTATATAACAAAACAGTTACACATTTACTTCCGTGTATGAGGGCGTGTCTGTATATATAACCAGATACATACATGCCTATTCCCATGTATTTACCTAGTTGTGCTTGTGGGGGTTGAACTCTGCTCTTTTGGCCTGCCTTTCAACTGTCAATCAATCAACTGTTACTAATTACAATTTTCTTTCGCACACACACACGCACACAGGAAGTAGCCTTTAACAACTAACTCCCATGTACCTATTTACTGCTAGGTAACAGGGTCATCAGGGTGAAAGAAACTTTGCCCATTGTTTCTCGCCGGCACCAGGAATCGAACCCCGGACCACAGGATTATGTGCCAGCATGCTGTCCACTCAGCCACTTGCCCCCACATACATGCATGTGTGTGGACGTGTATGTGTCTATACCCAGACACATACACGTCTAGAATGACTGCCAACTCTCTTAACACCTTTATCTTCAATATGCTCCTTTTGAAAGAAGTCTTTGACGAGGCCTTTTTTACAACTTCCTCTGAAATTCTATGGTGGCATCACCTTGCTTCCTTCATACATGTTACCGGACTTATAAGAAGGGATCATTATTTCAACATAAAATTTTTGCCTTATGTCACGAATGTGGGTGTGTGGTGATGACCTTTATATATTGTCTAGGGAAATAGAAGCTTTTACTTGAGCCAAGGGAAGATCAAGGAGTAGGGAAACAGCCAAGTACAAAAGACACAAATTTATATGTAAGTCACACTATATAACATATGGCGATAATTGTACTCCTTTTGACTCAAGGTCAATCTGAAAGTAACAACCTGGTTATTAAAACTCCCAAACGGGCTCTGGACACCCTACGGCTCTCAGTCCCAACCCTGGAACTGAGCACACAGCCACTACACCACCCCACCTGTGACACACATATATATAAACCACTAGGAAACCTGGATTCTCTCTCACAAAACAGCACCATAGACTGCCTGAGTACTCTAGACTATCTTGCAACGCTGTTAAGATAAAACTATGGCTTATCTGATTCTACGGCCGGAGAAAAACCCTCAGTAAGAAAGGTCTGGTCTTCAACGTTCCACTTCCACTCAGGTCAAGATGGCGTCCACCACTCTTGCGTCATCGCCCCTTAATACTCTATTCCTAACATTTACAATCAAACGTTTTATTCACTTCATTTACCATATTCCCCATGCATGCTTTTTAATTGAGTCCATTTTTTCCCTCACATAGTTTGGCTATTCCAATACACATTATTCCTAGACAATCTCCAGCTAAGAGGGTACTACTTTGCTTTGCGGAGTATTACTGGTGACTCGCGGCCTCCCAGTTATCAGCTGCAGATTTATTTCAAGGAAACATTCTCCAATGTGTCCACCAACACTTTATAATAAGAACTAACCTCCACAGTAGGTAAGGTTCATAACACCTTACACCCTACAGATGTTACTTCTGACCTGCTGGTATTATAAATATTGTTCAGTTTAACCCTTAACATACCAAGCCTTTGTCGTCAACGTTGTTTACCATTTGGGGTCTTCTGGGGACCCCATTTTTTTCGTTATTTCACAAATATTTGTTCTGTCAGATTGTTTAAATATATTTTTGAATTCAAAATATGTCACAGAACTCCTACAAGACCTGAATGTGTTCTGGTCCTGTACAAAACAAGAAATAAACCAATCATCTTCTGTAACGTAGTATAGAGTGGGGTCTTGCAGGGACCCCCAAGTGCGTTTTCATTATTTTACGGTTTTTGAAAGAACGCATTATAAGCATAAAAATGAAATATATATCGTCACCTCATCCGGGAGGAATAGAAAAATCAAAGTTAAATTGGTTGTTATAGTTACGGCAGGATCACAAAAATCACTATCTGGGGTCCACCCAGGACCCCCCCCCCCTCTTTGGTATGTTAAGGGTTAACCGTAAATTCTTGAATTAATTAATTTATTAATTAATTAAAGGCCTGGCATTACCCGGGATGGTCAGTCTGTCTCCCGTCTGTCCTTTTATATATCCATCCATCTATCTATCTGCCTAACTATATATTCAGAGTGTCAACCAAGAGGTGGAGGCAGGCCTGGATGAGTTAACCTAGAGGTGGAGGCAGGCCTGGATGAGTTAACCTAGACGTGGAGGCAGGCCTGGATGTGTCAACCTAGAGGTGCTGACAGACCTGGATTTGTCAAGGACGAGACGGTTAGTGAAGTCCGTTAGAAAGTGTCTCCTTCTCATCGTGTTTCCGTACAGGTAAAACACCATTCATGAAACTATTCTAAACAAATATTTTGTTCGTCAGCTGTTGTTGTTGTTGTATTTGGCAGAGACAAGTTTAGGAATATTGGGTGTTGTGGTTTTGTCTCGGCGGTGACTGGGGGAGGCAGTTCTTGTCCCGTAAGTATCGGAGAGAAGCGGCAAGGTCGCACTGGGCACTCCTGGATACTCTCACAGGAACTGGTCGCCCTCGGCCCTCCTGGACTCTCTCACAGGAGCAGGTCGCCCTCGGCCCTCCTGGATACTCTCACAGGAGCAGGTCGCCCTCGGCTCTCCTGGACACTCACAGGAGCAGGTCGCCCTCGGCCCTCCTGGATACTCTCACAGGAGCAGGTCGCCCTTGGCCCTCCTGGACACTCTCACAGGAATAGGTCGCCCTCGGCCCTCCTGGACACTCTCACAGGAATAGGTCGCCCTCGGCCCTCCTGGACACTCTCACAGGAGCAGGTAGACGCTCTCTTGCTGATCAGTAAAGTGCGTCCCATGTTAATGGAGTTGAAACAAAGGTGTTAGAGTGGGGCTAGGAGGGTTACTAGGCTCTCCTGACACAGCACAGGACTGACACAGAGGATTTCATCTTCATGTGAATTATGTGATGTGAATTACGTTAATATTTCCTTGGCGGATAAATTTAGCAGTAACCGAGGATTATACCTTGAGATTATCTTGAGATGATTTCGGGGCTTTAGTGTCCCCGCGGCCCGGTCCTCGACCAGGCCTCCACCCCCAGGAAGTAGCCCGTGACAGCTGACTAACACCCAGGTACCTATTTTACTGCTAGGTAACAGGGGCATAGGGTGAAAGAAACTCTGCCCAATGTTTCTCGCCGGCGCCTGGGATCGAACCCAGGACCACAGGATCACAAGTCCAGTGTGCTGTCCGCTCGGCCGACCGGCTCCCACCTATTCGCACACTCTGTAGAACACAGCCCTGGCCCTGAACAGTTGGCTCCTACTGAACACAACCCTAGCCCTGAACTGCTGGATCATACTGAACACAGCCCTAGACCTGAACTGTTGGCTCCTACTGAACACAGCCCTAGCCCTGAACTGTTGGGTCGTTCTGAACACAGCCCTATCCCTGAACTGTTGGCTCTTACCGAACGCAGCCCTAGCCCTGAACTGTTGGCTCCTACTGAATACAGCCCTAGCCCTGAACTGTTGGCTCCTACTGAATAAAGCCGTAGCCCTGAACTATTGGTTCATATTGAACACAGTTCTAGCCCTGAACTGTTAGACCATATTGAACACAGCCCTAGCCCTAAACTGTTGGCTCATACTGAACACAGCCCTAGCCCTGAACTGTTGGCTCCAATTGAAAACAGCCCTAGCCCTGAACTTTTGGCTCCTACTGAAGATAGACCTAGCCCTGAACTGTTGGTTGTTACTGAATACAGCCCTAACCCTGAACTGTTGACTCCAACTAAACACAGTCCTAGCCCTGAACTGTTAGCTCCTACTAAACACAGCCCTAACCCAGAACTGTTGGTTCCTTCTGAGCACAGCGCCAGCCCTGAACTGTTGGCTCCTACTAAACACAGCCCTAGCCCTGAATTGTTGGCTCCTACTGAACACAGCCATTGCCCTGAACTGTTGGCTCTTACTGAACACAGCCATAGCCCTGAACTGCTGGCTACTACTGAACCCAGCACTAGCCCTGAACTGTTGCCTCCTACTGAACACAGCCCTAGCCCTGAACTGTTGGCTCCTACTGAATACAGACCAAGCCCTGAACTGTTGGCTCCTACTAAACACAGCCCTAGCCCTGAACTGTTGGTGCCTACTGAACACAGCCCTAGCCCTGAACTGTTAGATCCTACTGAACACAACCATAGCCCTGAACTGTTGGCTCCTATTGAACACAGCCCAAGCCCTAAACTGTTTGCTCCTACTGAACACAGCCCTAGCCCTGAACTGTTGACTCTTACTGAACACAGCCCTACCTTTGAAATGTTGGCTTCTTCTGAACACAGCCCAAGCCCTGAACTGCTGGTTCCTACTGAACACAGCCCTAGCCCAACCATTGTTGGCTGCTACTGAACACAGCCCTAGCCCAACCATTGTTGGCTGTTTCTGAACACAGCCCAGCCCTGAACTGTTGGCTGCTATTGAACACAGCCCCTAGTACTGAACAGTTGGCTCCTACTGAACACAGCCCTAGCCCTAAACTGTTGGCTCCTACTGAATACAGCCCTAGCCCTGAACTGTTGGCTCCTACTGAACACAGCCCTAGCCCTGAATTGTTGGGTCGTTCTGAACACAGCCCCATCTCTGAACTGTTGGCTCCTACCGATCGCAGCCCTAGCCCTGAAATGTTGGCTCATACTGAACACAGCCCAAGCCCTGAACTGTTGGCTCATTTTGAACACAGCCCTAGCCCTGAACTGTTAGCCCGTACTGAACACAGCCCTAGCCCTAAACTGTTGGCTCCAACTGAACACAGCCCTAGCTCTGATCTGTTGGCTCATACTGAACACAGCCCTAGCCCTGAACTGTTGGCTGGTACTAAACACAGCCCAAGCCCTGAACTGTTGGCTCTTACTGAACACAGCCCTAGCCCTGAACTGTTAGCTCCAACTGAACACAGCCCTAGCCCTGAACTGTTAGCTCCTACTGAACACAGCCCTAGCCCTGAACTGCTACCTCCTTCTAAACATCGCCCAAGCCCTGAACTGTTGGCTCCTACTGAACACATTCCTAGCTCTGAACTGTTGGCTCCTACTGAACACAGCCCTAGCCCTGAACTGTTAGCTCCTACTGAACACAGCTCTACCCCTGAAATGTTGGCTTCTTCTGAACACAGCCCACGCCCTGAACTGTTGGTTCCTACTGAACACAGCCCTAGCCCAATTATTGTTGACTGCTACTGAACACAGCCCAGCCCTGAACTGTTGGCTTCTACTGAACACATCCTTAGCCCTGAACCATTGGCTCCTACTGAGCCCTAGACATGAACTGTTGGCTCCTACTGAACACAGCCGTAGCCCTGTACTATTGGCTCCTACTGAGCCCTAACCCTTGAACTGTTGGCTCCTACTGAACACAGCCCAAGCCCTGAACTGTTTATTTCTACTGAACGAAACCCTAGCCCTGAACTGTTGGCTCCTACTGAACAGAGTCCTAACCCGGAATTGTTGCCTCCTACTGAACACAGCCCTACCCCTGAACTGTTGGTTCCTACTGATCAAAGCCCTAGCCCTAAATTGTTAGCTCATATTGAACACAGGTCTATCCCTGAACTGTTGGCTTCTACTAAACACACTCTAGGCCCTGAACTATTAGCTGCTACTGAACACAGCCCTAGCCCTAAACTGTTGGCTCACACTGAACAGAGCCTTAGACCTGAACTGTTGGCTCTTACTGAACACAGCCCTAGCCCTGAACTTTTGGCTCTTACTGAACAAACCCCTAACCCTGAACTATTGACTCCTTCTGAACACAGCCTTAGACCTGAACTGTTGGCTCATTTTGAACACAGCCCTTCCCTGAACTGTTGGCTTCTAATGAACACAGCCCAGACCTTAACTGTTGGCTCATACTGAACTCAGCCCTAGCCTTGAACTATTGGCTCATATTGAACACAGTCATTGCCCTGAACTGTTGGCTCCGGGCTATGGCTGGTGTAGGCCAGGCTATAGCACCATAGTGGTGTAGGCTAGGCTATACTAGTGTAGGCCAGGCCATAGTGGTGTAGGTCAGGCTATAGTTCCATAGTTGACTGTTGGCTCCTACCGAGCCAACATAGTACCATAGTGGTATAAGCCAGGCTATATTGGTGTAGGTCAGGCAATAGTATCATAGTGGTGTAGGTCAGGCTATAGTACCATAGTGGTGTAGGTCAGGCTATAGTACCATAGTGGTGTAGGCCAGGCAATAGTACCACAGTGGTGTAGGTCAGGCTATAGTACCATAGTGGTGTAGGCCAGGCTATAGCACCATAGTGGTGTAGGCCAGGCTATAGTACCATAGTGGTGTAGGCCAGGCTATAGTGGAGTAGGCCTGTCTATAGTACCATAGTGGTGTAGGCCAGGCTATAGTGGTGTAGGCCAGGCTATAGTACCACAGTGGTGTACGTCAGGCTATAGTACCATAGTGGTGTAGGCTAGGCAATAGTACCACAGTGGTGTAGGTCAGGCTATAGTACCACAGTGGTGTAGGCCAGGCTATAGTGGTGTAGGCCAGGCTATAGCACCTTAGTGGTGTAGGCCAGGCTATAGTACCATAGTGGTGTAGGCCAGGCTATAGTGGAGTAGGCCTGTCTATAGTACCATAGTGGTGTAGGCCAGGCTATAGTACCATAGTGGTGTAGGCCAGGCTATAGCACCATAGTGGTGTAGGCCAGGCTATAGTACCATAGTGGTGTAGGCCAGGCTATAGTACCATAGTGGTGTAGGCCAGGCTATAGTGGTGTAGGCAAGGCTATAGTACCATAGTGGTGTAGGCAAGGCTATAGTACCATAGTGGTGTAGGCCAGGCTATAGTGGAGTAGGCCAGGCTATAGTGGTGTAGGCCAGGCTATAGTACCATAGTGGTGTAGGCCAGGCCATAGTGGTGTAGGCAAGGCCATAGTGGTGTAGGCAAGGCTATAGTGGTGTAGGCCAGGCTATAGTACTATAGTGGTGTAGGTCAGGCAATAGTGGTGTAGGACAGACTATAGTACCCTAGTGGTGCAGGCCAGGCTATAGTACCATAGTGGTGTAGGCAAGTCTATAGTACCACAGTGGTGTAGGTTAGGCTATTGAACCACAGTTGTGTAGGCCAGGCTATAGTGGTGTAGGCCAGGCTATAGTACCATAGTGGTGTAGGTCAGGCTATAGTGGTGTAGGCCAGGCTATAGTGGTGTAGGCCAGGCTATAGTGGTGTAGGCCAGGCTATAGTGGTGTATGCCAGGCCATAGTGGTGTTGGCCAGGCTATAGTACCATAGTGGTGTAGGCCAGGCTATAGTACCATAGTGGTGTAGGTCAGGATATAGTGGTATAGGCCAGGCTATAGTGGTGTAGGCCAGGCTTTAGTGGTGTAGGCTAGGCTATAGTGGTGTAGTTCAGGCTATAGAGGTGTAGGTCAGGCTATAGTGGTGTAAGACAGGCTATAGTGGTGAAGGCGAGGCTATAGTACCACAGTGGTGTAGGCCAGGCTATAGTGCTGAAGGCCAGGCTATAGTAGTGTAGGTTAGGCTATAGTACCACAGTGGTGTAGGTCAGGCTATAGTATTACAATTGTCTAGGCAATGCTATAGTGGTGTAGGTCTGGCTATAGTACCACAGTGGTGTAGGCCAGGCTATAGTGGTGTAGGCCAGGCTATAGTACCACAGTGGTGTAGGCCAGGCTATAGTACCACAGTGGTGTAGGCCAGCCTATAGTGGTGTAGGTCAGGCTATAGAACCACAGTGGTGTAGCCCAGGCTATAGTGGTGTAGGTCAGGCTATAGTACCATAGTGGTGTAGGCCAGGCTATAGTGGTGTAGGCCAGGCTATAGTGGTGTAGGCCAGGCTATAGTGGTGTACGTCAAGCTATATTGGTGTAGGTCAGGCTATAGTTGGGTAAGTCAGGCTATAGTACCACTGTGGTGTAGGTCAGGCTATAGTGGTGTAGGCCAGGCTATTGTACTATAGTGGTGTAATGGTATATGCACACCATAGCCCCTTCCCTTTCCCCTTCCCCCTTTGATGTCTCCTTCCTCTTCCTCTTCCCTTCTCTCGCTTGCCTTCCCTCCCTTTGGGTCATCCCTGTCTTTTGTCACAGTCTAACCCTCGGGGTCATAAACATCTTGAAGCCACTTGCTCCCCTCGCTCTCCGTCCATCTGTCCAGTGAAGAATTGAAAATAGTATCCCAGGGCTAATAAACTTGTGATCTCAATTTACACATGGGTACCCAGCCGGCATTCCCTCAGGAAAGTCGTTGGTGTCTTCCCAGTTTTTGGAGTTTCTGTCAAGAGGAATTGACCCTTATGGTCAAGCCTGATCCAGGTTGGTTGAAGACATGTAGGTCTGTGGAGGCGGGGCCTCACAGGGTAGTGCCTGCCCATGCCATTGGCCCGGTTTCTAGATCACCTAGTTATGTTTAAATTGATTGGCCAAAGGCTTGGGATAGGCGGAGTTAATTTGGGCCTAGGAACTAGGGGGTGGAGCCTGTCCCACTGGTAAGCGTTTTAATAAAGAAGTGTTAGTGTGTCTTGGGGCCTCGACTGAGGTACAGGTCAAGTGACCTGCGGGCAGCCAATCAACATCCTTTGGTAAGCTGCAGTATTGAAGGTAATTGTGCCCGTGAGTTGTGTAACATTGGTATTACATTCCATTTCCTCGTAGGTTCTTTTTATTTACAGTAGGCTATGTTTCAATTTTGATTTAAATATACGGGTTCCAATAATAAAGTAATTTTAATTGTATTCGTGTTTAATTATCTGTTCCCTTTGATTAATGACTGTGTTATTCATTCTTGTGATTTTCATTTGCTGTGCTAGAAATTCCAATGTGTTCCCCATCTTATGAGAAGTAAAGTCGCTCTAGGATCTTCCGTTCAGTTCAGTATGATTACAGTATTAATCCATTAGATTCATTTACTTACCCTTTGAGTTCCCTGATTAATGCGTTCCTGCCTTCCTAGGGTCCCAATAATTTTAGACACATTCATTTATGTTGGAAGGTGTTGGCAGTGTTTAATAATTGTTATTATTATTTTTTATATAAATTAATAACCCTTGTCCTTGATGTACCTTCTGTTACGAATCTTACTAGGATTCTAACATTACTCTTGATTCTTATTACTTTATTATCTTGTTCTATAATTAATTAATATAGCATCCAGTTGTATGATATAAGATTTTGTATGTTATATATTATAGCATGCTGTAGTGTGCCTGAGTTGCATTATATTGTATGAGGCTTTTGTGTTAGATTTCTCATTTAGTTTCTCCGTGTGGACGGTTGACCATATTTGGATATGGCCAGTGTGGGAATATTGTTGTCAATCGAGTGTTTATAGTTTTATCTTGATTAATTCCCATATTTGGTTGCCGTATTATTGTATGGAAGGCGATGAGTCACAATAACGTTGCTGAAGAATGTTGACCAGACCACACACTAGAAGTTGAAGGGACGACGACGTTTCGGTCCGTCCTGGACCATTCTCAAATCGATTGACTTATTGTATGGAATATTGTACCAGTGTTTACTACTCTTTAGATTGATAATGTTTTGAATATTAGTACTACATTTTGTTATTTGAATTTCCACAATGTTTATGTGGATGTTTAGTTGATTTTTTGGTAGACGCTTGGCCTGCGGACCAGAGCGTGTGCAGAAGCGTGGCGGCTGTTGTCGAGAGGAGTCGTGTTTTAAGTCAAGTCATTGGTCACTGTTATTTTAGCCCATATAAATGTTAATTATCTAGTTAGATGATTTGTGTATAGTGATATTGCTCATGTCTCAATAATTAATTTCATTCTATGATATTGCATGCTGAAGAATATTTCTGGCTATTATTTATACATTTAATTGTTGTTATGCTTGTCCCTTTTAGCATATATTGTTCTCCTTTTTATGCAGTGATGTATCTATACCCCTAGACATCTGTTGGCAAAGCCGATTTATTATCATTTCTTTACACTGCATGGAGAAGAACCTTATTTAGTCTCAAGGGTGGTAACAAATGAGGGCCTGTGTCCGGGAGATTAAACCTTAATTCCCTGTAACGTTTGTACAATTAACAGTGCTAATTATTAATAGCAATTGCCTTCCTAGGTACTCTGTGATTATCTAGTGACACCTAATCAAGCCTGTGAAATTATCTGTTCAATCTGAGCTGCTGTGAAAACTTTTCAACGCTTCCCGATTTGAGGTAAGTGTTAAGCTTGTGCCAGGGGCCAAGCATAATTTTCAGTGTTGTTTCAAGTGTAAGTTGTGATTATTGAGCCAACCATGGAGGATCAGGTTGCTGCGCTGGTGGATCAGCCAAATTTTTGTAAAATTAAAGACTTTAAAGAAGTCTGGTTTGTTATTGCTGGCTGATAAATTGAACCTAGCAATTTCCAGTAAAATGTTGAAAGCTCAAATGTTAAGAGTGATTGTCACACACTTGGTGGAGGAGGAAAAACTTGAAGAAGAGTGTTTAGGAGAGTTAGAAGGAGAGTCAAGTGACAAGGTGGCAATCTTAAAGTTGGAGTTGGAGACTAAATTAGAAATGGCTAGGCTGGCAGCAGACAAGCAGAGGTTGGAGTTGCAGAACCAGACAAAACACCTTGAGTTGGAGACTAAACAAACCGAGCAGCAGACTAGACAATTAGAAATTCAGCAATGGCTGAAAATAATAACAGGTTAGAACAGCAGAGGATTGCGGCAGGTTTGGGTAACACTAGTAATAATCCAGAGAGTACAAATAGTTCTTCTAAGTACAGTAAACATGTAGAATTACCTAAGTTTAATGAAGAAGATCCAGACATATTTTTCTTGCATTTTATGAAACTAGCAGTCAGCATGAACTGGCCTGTCGATCAATGGGTTAGCATATTACAAGGACAATTTAAGGGTAAAGCTCAAGAGGTA